TTCTTACCTACAATGGGTCGAGGAGGCATGACAGCTGTCATACAAACGTCATTTCCACACCCATCAGGACAACATTTTCGTTTTCCTGAGCATTCGATGTCTTGAAAGCAGATCCGCTTTTTAAGGAAAGGTTTGCATTTGGCTTTTGGGGTTGGACATTTTCCTTCCTTTGCACGGCCGAAACCTGTATAGAACATTTCAACAATAATCAAAATACAACAAACATGAAGATATCATGAAGTAGACAACTACAGCAACAGAAAGTTTATTTTGATACACAGTTTTAGGTGCATTTTCACCGCAGAATGAACACAGGATTTTATATTTGATTTCCAAATATCTTTTTGATATGCATAATCTGAACCGTGTGCGAGTTTTTATTGCTTGTGATGGGAGATTGGGCACAATTCTTTGGGTTTGTAGGTTTGCATAATTACAGACTGGTACAGTTAATTCAAACGAAATTATAACAACAGTAAGGGATGGAGATGGAGATGCCAGCATATGATAATGAATATACAGATAACAAAGATATCATATTTTGTGACCCTGTTATCTGGAATAATGATGGGGCAATATTATCGGCCGGTCAACTTATAGGTGATAGAACTTATCATGTCAATAAATGACTTCATCTGTATTRAACACACATCATCTATTATTGTAATGTTTTTTATACATTATTATAACATTAGTGTAATGGTTGCGTTTTTAGGTGTGAAGCATGTTATTATCATAAAAAATATTTTTAAAACTGATATGTAATACTGGAACAACAGATTGACGCAGTTTAAACAGTAAAATCTAAAATGATGTCAAAAGGTCGACAAAAAGGTTTAAATACAAACTGATGAACAGGCAGGAATGAGCAAGCTGTGGGGTTATCTGCGCACTCGAATATTAGGCGCATTATCACTCGCTCTGCCTTTAACAAAGGTCACAAAGGAACGAAAATACTGGGTTTTATAGGTCTTTCTAACTCATTTAATAGTTAACATCACTTTGCTGGATGTCGGATCGAAGGATTAGAATTGGTCTTATTATCACCAACCAATAACAAGTCCAGTTCTGTGATATAATATTATTATATATTAATATTAATATGTATAGTAATAGATACAATAATTATTTGAGTGAAACACTAACTGCAAAAACAATTAATTAAGGAATATAAGCAGTCAAGACTACTATTTGGCCAGATAGGAGTTGCTGAGAAATTTGATAGGCTTGTTAGTAGCTTTAGTAGCTTTGCTACGATCTTTTGGCAGAAAAAAATCCAGCTATTATTGAGATGTCGCCTATCGGATTAGATATGCTTGCTAACAATATAATCAGACATTCAACTACATAACAACATAACATAACGACATAACAACCAACTGAGGTTTATAGATAACGTCATGCGCGTGTCGCAATTTTAAAAGACATGATTGTCTTACGAATACAAAGACAAATAGGGAATGACAATGRGAACATCGTTTTYTGAGTTCAGAGATCAAGGTAAATATTCAGAAATGGCAATATTGATCAGTTCGGYAGCGTTCGTTACAAACTAACAGTATAGCCATGGAATAAGTAATAAAGATTGCAGGGGAATGTTTGACTAGCTATATCATATATCACCTAATACGCGAAGTACAGATAATCATTACCTTCKACCGAACAAATCAATGCTCCCAAGAAAAGGAACACAAACAGCGACTTCATCTTCTCCAAGTGAGAGCTGTACTGTTATCTGTCATGCCTTTATATCAAATGGCTTATTTCCGGCTGTCAATCATATTTTTAACCGCTGTGATTGGCTAAAACTCTCTTGAGGTCAGAATTGTTTGGACATGAATAGACGTACTACTTATAAACTAACCARCATTTCAATCATTTAAAGTTTTAAAGTGTATAATCTTAAAATCATCAGATTAATTATTGTAATTCATAATTTCTCATTAGAGGAAGTTGCATTGCATAACCTTGAAACAGGACGTGACGTACGTGTTGAGTTATGATAAGTTGACAAAATTCAAGCCTCTCATGCGCAGAGAAAGTCCAAAAACAAAAACAAAGCACGAAAAAATGTTGTCATTACAATAGCCCTAAGAATTTGCATTTTCTCCCATTTGAAGCTAAAGCTGTAAGGTTCAAAGTCTTGTGGGAATACTACTGGAAAAAATCGTACGCTTTTGATGTAGATATGATGTAAGTGTCCAAAATTCTGTCAATTTAATGGAAATTAGCCTGTGTACATCCGTTTCTCACCCCTCCAAAAAAATCGGGGAGATCTCTCCCCGATTTTTTGAGGGGTGAGAAACGGATGTACACAGGCTAATGGAAATCATTTACATCAAATTTACAGTTTTGGACACTTATTACCTCATATTTACATCAAATTTACAACCTTAGCCCTCAAATCGGAGTTAATTGAGATTGATATTTCTAGAGCTATTTTTATTTCAACATCTTGTTCGTGCTTTCTTTTATCCTCTACGCAAGTGAGTTTGTTGTGTACTGCCAGGGATCCTCGTCGGATCTCTTAGAGGTAAAAGTACGTGATTTGAAATTATTTAGGGTGACAGTTTGGAGTTTTGAAATTTTCATTTTCTGCAATCTCTTAGGGACAAAAAAAGAAGAGAAAGAGTGGATTGATATTGATTTTCTTCTGCGTTTTTATCATTGGAACTGATTTAACTTAGCAATATTTGTTGTGCAATCTCTTAAGGGTTAAAGATCAGTCGGCCGCGCCCTTTTTTCAAGACTTCCTGGATCTTTAAGGGATCTTACGCACTCATAACGAAACTGCGGTCGCTCGCATTGAACAGGAAAAAGGCTTATTCACAAAATAAATGAAACATAGAATTACAACAACGTATGGGTTTCTCCTTCTCAAAATGATCGGCTTTGTGCGTTCCAGTCTTAATTGATACTCTTTTTTAATATATTTCCTCACAACATTAGCTCAAGTTTCTTTGTTGAGAGCGAAATAGAAATAGAAATAGAAATAGAAATAGAAATAGAAATAGAAATAGAAATAGAAATAGAAATAGAAATAGAAATAGAAATAGAAATAGAAATAGAAATAGAAATAGAAATAGAAATAGAAATAGAAATAGAAATAGAAATAGAAATAGAAATAGAAATAGAAATAGAAATAGAAATAGAAATAGAAATAGAA